GAGTTTCCCATTTGTTTCCCGTGGACTATCCTTGTCCTAGTGAAAGAATGTGAAACTCGCTTTCTCTGAACTGTAGACTTTTGATTTTCTCGTATCTTTTTATAAGATAGGAAGTTTCACCAAAATAGAAGAAATTATGAAATTGAAAGAAAGATTAAATCTCTCTATAAATTATTCATCTGTAGAGCTCGATAAAATGGTTTTAGCTCTTATTTTAGTCACGAAAAGGTGAGTACCTCTTTTAAATTTAGTTTTTGCAGTCATTTTTAAAACTCATTCTAAATAATTTTTCCTTTTTCTCAACAGTCCTGATTCCTTTGCTCAAACTATGATGACAATTGATGTTGATTTAGATAAAATTGAAAACGGTTTCGATGACCGCTTGGATAATCGAGATGTGGCAATTTTTCGAGTTTTGGACAATGAAACCAGTGAACAGTCTGAAAAAAATCGTGAAAAATGGTTTGACGATCAACTCAAATGGATTAAACTTCGTCATCTATTACTCAAAACCATAGTTGTCGGATTTTGCAGTCTGGCTAAATTAGAATTGAAAGATTTGAATAATGCTGGTTCAAGTGAAATGATAAATTCTAACTCGATTGGAGCCAAATTTGAAGAAAGTGACTTTCCGAGTTTTACAAAAAATTTGGAAAAACTTACAGCTTACTATGAAACATTAAAGACTAAACCAATTTATTTGGAAATGGTAAGCTTGAATTTACTGTTGATACAATTGTTTTTATTTTTGGCGGATCATTTGAATTTATCTAATTAAATTTTCTCTTTCTTTTTAGTTTCCTTTGCAAGGACCTCAACCTTCCAGGATTAATTATTATTTGCAAAAAGACTACTTTGACATTATTCTCAAGATCCTAAATCAACTGAAAGTGGTTCATGAATCGAGCAAAGAGAAAGCAGTATCTTGGGACGATTCCTGGCTCAATATCTTGCAATCCATTATCAACGACATTTCTGTTTCTTTAAAAGTGTCTAATTCATTCTTTGAATTGGGAAAAGTTTTGAATGATTTATCATTCATTGTCGAAACAATATGTTTTGCTGTTATATTATTAGGATTTATTAATCTATCAGTTAAAAAAGATCTCCAAGAATCCAAGAAAAATAAGAAAAAGCGTAATCTTGAAGTTTTGGCCAACATAAGTGGAATAGTAGAAAACTTCAACAATGCTTTGAACGAAATGAACACATGCCTTGCGTTTTTACTCTCAACACTAGATGAAATGAATTTAAATCATCTTATCAATGCACCTGTTGATTATGATATGTTCAAAAGCAAAGGCATTTTCTTTCAACAACCAGACGTAAGTTATTTTTTTGCTTGATTTATCAACAATAACTAATACCTTTGATCTTTTACTACAGGTTTATCACTCAACTCACAAGGAAATAACGTCAAAGCTGGAACAAAGTTATAAAAAGACTGCAAGCCAACTCCATTCTACTATTTCAATGAAAATGAAATATCTCAACTCTCTCAAATTGTAACTAAATATATTGAAAATTTTACTGAACTCATTTGTTAGCATTAAATCAGTTTAACGGTCTCTAGAAGTTGGATTTTTTCTTGCGAGGCAATTGGAAATTACAAAATCAAAACAAGATGCCAAAAATAAAAAATATTGTTTAGCTTTTATTATAATTATTGAGGTCATTGTATCTTTGATTATCAGTTTTACCATTGATGATATGATATTGGAACATTGCAATACAAATGGAATCTGTAAACCAATTTAGTTTATTATTTAAGTACGCAAAAATAGGAAGATCGATTCACGGCATGATACTAAAGAAACGAATGCATTTATTTTGATGTTATTTAGGTATTGGCACAAATATTATAACTTGACAAGCAATCAAATGATTGACAAATTAACGAGTCTAAATTTGAGATTTGTGATTTAATGAGCTAATTCCGTCTACAATTCATTTCAACAATTTTACTTTTTCAATAAGATAGAGTTTCGAGGGATTTCAAGAAAAAATAAAACTAGAAGTTACTTTGGACTGATAGATTTATTATGATTTATCTTTTAGTACTGAAATCAAAGAAAATGATAGACATTTGATTTTCTTCTAATTGCGCTATTCAAATATTGCAATATAACGATTAATTTTAGTTTTATTAAGCTGAATGGAATGACGGAATAGCAATGATTATTGAGATTGTTACAATTGCCAGAGTAGATATGAAGTCTGGAGTGATCATGAAAAGGCCACCAAAAGAAAATCCAATATCATTGAAACCGATACGGTAAAGGGACAAAGAAATCTGAACAAGAAAGATTCGATTAAAATGTTATTTAAGTCCAACAATATTTTGTCCCAAAACTCACCTCATTGAGAACGGAAAATGAATCTGTTTTAAACGATAGCTTGTATAAAATTGGTACAGGCTGTTGAGATTTGATGTAAATGGCTACAACTGAATGGGTAATCAGACAGAGTTCAACAAGTATTCCCAGAAATGCAAACATTGAACTAATTTTGATTAGTACAATTTGCTTATCAAATACTAAAATATAAACGTCGACGATTACAATGAACACATAATGACTAATTAAACCAATTGCAGCGAGATTCATGAATAAACTTGATTCATCAACCAATCGATGAATCAAAAGATATTGCCAACGAAGCATTTTGACAACTTTATTGTTCAATTTGTTGCCCTCAAGTTGCATCTCTTTACTAACAGCATTCAACTGATCATTGATGTTACTAAGTGTTGCTTGAGACAGCATTGCTAAATCAATCAAAATCAAGTCTTGTGATAGTGCAAAAGGATAGTAAACTGTAGTCGACAAAATGGTTAGCCAATAATTCAAAAAATCACTCGAAGTTGAAACAGAGGTTTGGCTCTGATATGGCCAAGAATGCTTGTAAACATTCACTTTATGAAGAGCTTGTGGTATGTAACTTAAAATAATCAATATTCTGTAGACTGTTCGGTGAATCCAGAAAAACTTTCGAGTTTGATGGTCGTAATCAATGTCTATAACATGATAGTGAGCGATCACTTTGTCCAAAAATTGTTGATTATATTTAACATAAAATAGAAAGAAAATGAAAAGTTGAAATGAAAAATGCGTTACTTCCAAAGGGCTGAAGGAAAACGTTGAATCCAATGAAAAATTGACCAGTTTCGTCGAATGTCTTGCAAAAATTAAAACCATTGTAACCAGAAATAAGACATTCCCTGTAACTCCATTTGACGATGAAACGATCAAATTCAATCTTGATGAAAGTGAATCTAGGGAAATTTTCGGATAATTTGCTTCATTTTTGCTTAATAAACGTTTCAAGATTTTGATGTCGATCATTTTTGATTGTACTCAAATTGAACTCAAAGATTTAATGATAGGTTTGGCGAGTTTCAATATTGTTTGACAGACTCAAAAGATGGTTCGAAATGTTTTTGCATTAATTTAAAATTTATCAAAGCCATTCAAATTGGACCATTGAGGAGCATTTTTACAAAATATTAATGTAAGAGCATGTTATTTATGAGTTTAATGCAAAAATCGATGAACAATTTTGGATACAGCTAAATTTTAATATCGAATGTCATCTGAAACATTGTATTACAGTAATTTCTTGCTTAATGGATAAAAATGTGGGCTAAGCTTTCGCGAAAAATCAGCAAGGTGACGTTGTTTTTTCATTAAAGGACTTTGTTCGCAAATTTCCACTTTTGAGTTAAGCTCTCAGACTTTGTAGCCTGATAGGGGCTAAAATGAAAACGGCTTCGCATAGAAAAAAAAATGGTATAGATCATCTTATTTCTCATTTCATTTTACGCACAGAAATTTTTTTGCAAAAAATCTATTTCTATTATATTTTTGATATCGATTACTTGATGACCTACAAGTTTTCAAGATATCATTTGGTTGAATTTAATTATTCAAAACTAAAGTTTTATTGGGATTAAATAGCTTTTTGATCATCAAGTAAAATACCAAAAGTATTAACTGTAATGAAAATTAACATGCAATCAATTTAAAAAATAATTAAACTTTGCTTCGATTTTTTATGAGACTGAGTTTCTTTTGTTCATGCAGATTAAATAGTTCGTCCATTTAACGTCTGTATTTACAATTCTGTAATAACAATGACTTCCATCAATAGACATCGATGTTTTTTAAAAAATGAAAATCTCAAAAATTATCCCAAAATATCTATTGACTCGATTCCATCCAGATTCAAATTAATGATTTCGTCAACAAATGGTGCTCTTGGAAAATGTTTATTCATATTAATTGCGCTTGTATTGAACATGAGGTATTTAAATTTTATATTTGCTATTTCTTCAGATGTCGGTTTGTCAAAAATTGCTGTATATTACGCTGTCATTGAAAATATTTACTTCATTTTCTTGCATTTCAATTATAATCATAAATTTTTGGGACAAATTAATGATTATTGGAACGAACTACATATAGACTTTGATTATGAAACGAGGAAATATTTTTATACTCAAAAGACTATCAGTCGTTTATTCACACTTGTAACGTTTACAAGTTACCTAGCATTCAAATACAGTGACTCGTTCTATGCGTGGTACACGGAAACAACCAATAATTCGAGTAAAGATTCTTTCCTCGACGATGTACTTTACTACGTGATGCATTTTATTGTTGGGCCAGTATCTTTTGCCAACAACTTTTGTCAATCTTGTATTTTCACTGATATACTGATCTTAGCGCAAACAGCACTTCTATTCAGTGTCATTAAATTGAAGAAACTTGGGTCAGTACGAGGCAAGAAAATACTGAATATCGATGTTATTACAGACCTTCGTCAAAAGTATCTCTCGACTCATCGTTTAGTTGAGAAAATCAATGAAATCATGAGTCCATGTTTGTTGATAATGTTTATTCATTTTACATTGTGGGTTATCCATTTATCTTATGTTTTGCTTTTTCTTGATGCCCATCAGCTGATTAAATTTAACCGGATCATGCAGTGTGTCATAGTTTTAATAAGTTTAGTCTTCATTGCGTCTTTGGCTATCCGTGTTCATAAAAAATCTCAAGAATTATTGATGACTGCATATAAATTATCTCTCAAAACTGACTCGATAATCATTCTCAAGGAGGTACGTTCGTATTCATGATCAACATATAATGATTTTTTGAGTTAATTATTATTTGTTTCTTATTTAGATTACATTATTCCTAAATTGCAATGAAATTGGATTCTCATTCGGTGGACTTTTCATGTTGACGACTTCGTCCTTATCAACATTGTTTGGCATATTAACGACTATGATCATTGCTATTCCATCATTTAACAAACACGAAGATACTCATTGAATTGACTGAACAAATAACATCAAAAATGTACATTTTTGTCATGTATTAATTGTTCAGAATGTAAAATAAATACGCAATACAGTACAATTTTAGAACCCAATTCGAGTCCATCAATCTTATCAATTTCTTTTGTTTCTTTTCAAAAGCTGCTAATTGACGACCATTCAATTTATCGCCTTTCTCATCACCAGGAAGAATATTCCATAAATCTAAATCTTTACAGATCAACTTGATCTTATATTTCCAGTTAACCCAATTATCCTGGTTCAATTTATCAATTGAAATCGATTTTGAATCTTCCATGATTTGAATAGTTCAATAATAAGACCAAAATAATGAAATGCAAACATTGAACTAATTTTGATTGGTACAATTTGCTTATCAAATGCCAAAGTATAAAAGTCGACGATTACAAAGTACACATAATGACTTATCAAACAAAATGTAGCGAGATTCATAAATGCACTTGATTCATCAACCAATCGATGGATCAAAAGATATTGCCAACGAAGCATTTTGACTACTTTATTGTTCAATTTGTTGCCCTCAAGTTGCATCTCTTTACTAACAGCATTCAACTGATCATTGATGTTATTAAGTGTTGCTTGAGACAGCATTGCTAAATCAATCAAAATCAAGTCTTGTGATAGTGCGAAAGGATAGTAAACTGTAGTCGACAAAATGGTTAACCAATAATTCAAAAAATCACTCGAAGTTGAAACAGAGGTTTGGCTCTGATATGGCCAAGAATGCTTGTAAACATTCACTTTATGAAGAGCTTGTGGTATGTAACTTAAAATAATCAATATTCTGTAGACTGTTCGGTGAATCCAGAAAAACTTTCGAGTTTGATGGTCGTAATCAATGTCTATAACATGATAGTGAGCGATCACTTTGTCCAAAAATTGTTGATTATATTTAACATAAAATAGTAAGAAGATGAAAAGTTGAAACGAAAAATGCGTTACTTCCAAAGGGCTGAAGGAAAACGTTGAATCCAATGAAAAATTGACCAGTTTCGTCGAATGTCTTGCAAAAATTAAAACCATTGTAACCAGAAATAAGCCATTCCCTGTAACTCCATTTGACGATGAAACGATCAAATTCAATCTTGATGAAAGTGAATCTAGGGAAATTTTCGGATAATTTGCTTCATTTTTGCTTAATAAACGTTTCAAGATTTTGATGTCGATCATTTTTGATTGTACTCAAATTGAACTCAAAGATATAAAGATAGCTTTGGCGAGTTTCGATATTGTTTGACAAACTCAAAAGATGGTTCGAAATGTTTTTGCATTAATTTAAAATTTTTAAAATCCATTGGACCATTGAGGAGCATTTTTACAAAATATTAATGTATTAGGGGTATCAAAAAGTTTAATGCAAAAATCGATGAATAATTTTGTATACAGCTAAATTTTAATATCAAATGTCATCTGTAAACATTGATATTGATGCAAATGTATATCTAATAAATGTTCAATTTATGTTGACGAGTTTAATGTAAATGATTTTTACGAGCTCTTGATGGTTAATAATAAAAACAATTATTTATTCAACATTTTTGATTGTAAATTGAAAGTGGAAAAAGGTCAATCAAAAATTTAACTTTTATTAATTATGCCAGATTAATATGGAATGGTTCAATATTTAATAAGCGAAACCAGAATTTAGTTTCTGAAAAACATTTAATCATGAATTATTGGTTATTATCAAAACTATAAACAACTTTGAATGTTTGCATGTAATATCGGAAAGCAGATTCCGATCATGGCTCATCGCAAAATTGCTTCGACTAAGTTCCTTTGGCCAGCATAAACAAACATCAACCAATCTGAAAAATTTTGTTCACAAGTGACGAGTGCACGATTCACTCATCTTAATCAGTATCTTCGTGTTTATTAAATGATGGAATAGCAATGACAATAGTAGTTAATATGCTGAACAATGTCGATAAGGACGATGTCGTCAACATGAAAAGTCCACCGAATGATAATCCAATTTCATTGTAATTGAGGAATAATGTCATCTAAATAAGAAAAAAATGTAATTAACTCAAAAAATTGAATGTGGACGAATCATGAATACGAACAGACCTCACTGAGAATCCTTATTGAGTCCGTTTTGAGAGATAATTTATATACTGTCATCAATAATTCTTGAGATTTTATATGAACTCGGATAGCCAAAGACGCCATGAAGACTAAAATCATTAACATTATGACACACTGTATGATCCGTTTAAATTTAATCAGCTGATGGACATCAAGAAAAAGCAAAGCATAAGATAAATGGATAACCCACAATGTGAAATGAATAAACATTATCAACAAACACGGGCTCATGATTTCATTGATTTTCTCAACTAAACGATGAGTCGAGAGATACTTATGACGAAGGTCTGTAATAACATCGATATTCAGTATTTTCTTGCCTCGCACTGAGCCAATGTAAAGTTTCTTCAATTTAATGACACTAAATAGAAGTGCTGTTTGTGCTAAGATCAGTATATCATTGAAAATACAAGTTTGACAAAATTTGTTGAAATAAGATACTGGTCCAACAATAATTTGCAACACGTAATGAAATACATCTTCGATAAAAGAGTCTTTACTCGAATTATTGGCTGTTTCCGTGTACCACCCATAGAACGAGTCAATGTAATTAAAGGCTATGTAACTTGTATACGTTACAAGTGTGAATAAACGACTGATGGCTTGCTGAGTCCAAAAATATTTCCTCGTTTCATAATCAAAATTTATTTGTAATTCGTTCCAATAATCCTCAATTTGTCCGAAAAATTCATGATTATAATTGAAATGTAAGAAAATGAAGTAAATATTATCAATCAAAGCGTAACATACAGCACTTTTTGATAAAACTGATAAACCGGGATCCGAAGAAATAGCAAGTATAAAATTTAAATACTTCATGTTCAATACGAGCGCAATTAATATGAATAAACATTTTCCAAGAGCACCATTTGTTGATGAAATCATTAATTTGTATCTGGATGGAATCGAGTTTATAGATATTTTGGGATAATTTTTGAGATCTTCATTTTTTAAAAAACATTGATGTCTATTGATGGAAGTCATTGTTGTTATACTACAGAATTGTAAACACAGAAGTTAAATGGACGGAATGAAAACGAGAAATCAGTTTCATTGAAAATCGAAGCAAAGTGTCATTATTTTTAAATTGATTAAATGTTAATACTTTTATTATTGTTAATACTTTTGGCATTATTCTTGATGATCAAAAAGATATTTAATCACATAAAACTTCAGTTTTGAATAATTCAATTCAACCAAATGACATCTTGAAAACTTACAGGTCATCAAGTAATCGATATCAGAATCAAAATTTGAAATTTCAAAATTTACAAGCTGTGATTTAGAACAAAAGAACGAAGAAAGACATTTTTATTGTGGGTTGCGTTCTAATATTGCATTGTACTAATATTTTACTTCGTACCTTTGTCAACAATTAATGGATGACAATATTTTGATGTTATTTGTTCGATTCAGTTAACTCAATGAGTATCTTCGTGTTTGTTAAATGATGGAATAGCAATAATCATAGTCGTTAATATGCTGAACAATGTTGATAAGGACGAAGTCGTCAACATGAAAAGTCCACCCAATGAGAATCCGATTTCATTGCAATTTAGGAATAATGTAATCTAAATAAGAGACAAATATTAATAATAATTAATTCGAAAAATAATTGAATGTTGATCATGAATACGAACAGACCTCATTGAGAATCCTTATCGAGTCAGTTTTGAGAGATAATTTATATACAGCCATCAATAATTCTCGAGATTTTATATGGACTTGGATAGCCCAATATGCGATTTTGAGCATAATTATTACTACCAAAACACAGCGAATAGCGAGACTTAGTCTGTTGAGAAAATTGTGTTCAAGAAATACTAAAGCATAAAAAAAATAACAGCTATTAGACACAAAACAAATGAAAATCAAGAATAAACAAGGGCTCATGATTTCATTGATCTTCTCAACTAAACGATGAGTCGAGAGATACTTTTGACGAAGATCTTTAATATCATCGATATTCAGTCTTTTATCACGTCTTACTGATTCTTTGTAGAGCTTATTCAACTTGCTTAAGTTGAACCGAAGAGCTGTTTGAGCTAAGATCGGCAATTCAATGAGAATGCAAGCTTGACAAAAAAAATTGAAATAAGCTATCGGTCCAAAAATAATACCAAAGACGAAAGCAAATATATTACTCGATTTATCTGTTTCTTCGTACCACGCATAGAACAACAAAGTGTTCTTAAAGAAGTACGAACTTATATACACTATAATTGGAAATAAACGGCTGATAGTCTTTTGAGTCCAAAAATATTTTCTCGTTTCATAATCAAAATCTATTTGTAATTCGTTCCAATAATCATCAATTTGTCGCAAAAATTTATGATTAAAACGGAAATAAAAGGAGAAGAATCCATTATTTTCGATTAAAAAGCCCAACGACACTTTTTAGTTCAACTGAAAACACTGAATCTAAAGGAATTTTCAATAACTGTTTCAAATACATTGAGTTACTCAGAAGCATAAACAATGCAAATAAACACTTTCCAAAAGCATTACTTGTTGATGAAATCATTAATTTGAATCTGAATGGAATCGAGTTTATATCTATTTTTGGATAATTTTTTAGCTCTTCATTGCTTATGAAACACTGTTTCCTATTGATGGAAGTCATTTTGGCGAACTATAAAAGCAAAATGAATAAAATGAAATCCTTGAAATCCTGTGGATACATAAAATGAGTCTCGACAAAAGCCAGTTTCATTTAATTTCCTCATGACACACAAAATCATTGTATTAAAATGAATTATGAATATTTCCATTTCAATTGATACATTTTGCATGAAGTAAACATGTTTAAAAAGCTATTAACATTTAAAATCAACTTTAGCGTTAAATAATTCAAATTAAAAAATGATGCCTTGAAAATTCGGGAATTAACAAGTAATCGATATCAATGTCAAACGTTAAAATTTTTGATAACTTTAGAGTTTTATCAAAAAGTCGAATAGTCGAAGCTTTAGAACGGCAATAAGTTCGATTCCGATACACATAACTAGACGTTAAACTAGAAATTTAATGCCCAAAGATGACAAATACTGGGTTTCAGTTTATTTATGTCAATCATTCTGTGTTTGTCTAATTTTAGGTTTGAACATTTCATTATAATAATGTCTTCTAAGACTTGCAATTGATAAGTTATGATTCAGATTCAATTTTCATCTTTGTCTGTATCAATCAATTGTACAGTTTGGATCGCTTGAAAGAGTCGAGATGAACAGGACTCTAACGGTTTGAAGCAATCAAAATTGTGCGTAATTAAGACGTGTGTAAATTTAATATTTGATCAGTTGATCGACATTTATTGAAAGTATTAGCTTGTTACTAAGACATAAATGACGGGATTGCAATAACGATAGTAACCGTTACAGAAATCAATGATGAAATCTGTTGTGTGATCTTGAAAATGCCTCCAAACAAGAATCCAGAATTATTGAAGCTCATTGAAAATCACAATAGGAACTGAAAGTTGGTGAAGTAAGCAAGTATCTTTAACGACTGTTAACTCAATAAATTTTACTTGGCATGATTAACTTGACAATTAGACAGACTCTTGTATGTTAATAAAGTAACAGTAAGTTATTCAAGTGAATGTGTAAACTTGAATCAGATAACTTAACTGTCTGCTCAACTTTTATTAATAAACAGCTTTTGTAGGCTTTGCCTTCAAGGCTTTAACAGGTCCAGCCATCTAGCGATCTTATCAAATCAACTGATAATCTCTAATAATTAGAGTCTAATTCATCACTTGGCATTTATTTAGTCACCTCATGACATAATTACATGAAAACTTGAGTAAAATTTTACACAATTAACAAGTAACAGAACTCAGGTCGATGATAAGAATGGCTACGCACAAAGTCTCAATTTTCAATCAGATTCTTCAGTTATCCATGGCGATACCGGAAAAAGCAAACAAATGAAAATTTTGCGTAAACTTTACAATATTAATCATGACTTGACAAGATTAAACGTGTATTTGTGTAATCAGTAGTCCAATTAAACACCATTAGTAATTGTTTAAACATTTCAATGACAAACTTCATTAATTTATTCATTGATTTCCCACTCAAGACCTTTCATTGAGTTGAAACCCTCGTGATTATCTTGACTTGTTGACATAATATGTTTTTGATATTTTATTAGCCATTTCAATGTTCAGTGAAACAAAAACATCATTTGATCAAATAAATCAATCAATTTACTCACTTTATATACGATCCCTCAAAATGTATTTTCATTTGTTTACATTTGTTAAATCGCATTTAATTAACAAAGATGAATGGTAAAAATTATTAAATTAATAAAGGAATCAATGGAATCCTTGTTAACATTGAAACCAATAGCGAACCCAAAAATAACCAGTTTTTACCAAAATATTGGCTTTAAGACACTTTTACATTGAAAGGCCTTTTACTGTTATTTTTGACATGATTACTTCATTACTCTGGTTTTAATAGATTGATTGGCTAAATATATCAATAGACGAGTCTATTAATCATGACTATTTCAATCATAAGATTTAATTAATTTCAAGATTAACATAAAGTCTGGACTTCCTAAGCTTACTGTTTGAATCCAAATCCAAGGCCTAAAGGCTGAATGTCAATACAGATGTTGATCGAGCTGACGCTTAACCAGGAATCATTTTCATCTAATTTGATTGAAAGATATCGATAATTAAATCATTATTTAAATCAATTATTCTAGATGAAATCGCCAATTAAAGTAATTAGTTAAAACCAGATTTAATATCAAGATTTTAATTTGTCTGGTTTCCCATTTGGGTTAATTTACTAACCGTAGTTGGTTAGTTAACCAGGAAATAAAGATCTATGGGATTATTAATTATCACTAATTGTAAGATAATCAGTTTCCAATCAATTATTACGTTGGATCTTATTATTTGTTGTAAATTAAATAATTTTTTGCCTTATTTTGAGTAAAAAATTTTTGTTTCGACGCCATTTTGTTGGTTCAGCTTGGTAGTCTTTTCGAGAAGAAAGGCGGATCTTGCCTTCTGATTGGCTGTTTTTTAATACGTCATGAGTTTTATTGCTGAGAGTATATAAAGGCTTGCTGTTTCTTCACTATTTTCATTCTAGTCTAAACTGTTAGTAGATCTGTTATGGTTCTTCTTTGGTGCAGTTAATCCTTCTGTTGTTTATTCCAGTTTGTTTTGAGTCTACCTTGATGTGTTTTTGTCTTTTTTGTCTCTCTCTTTACTCTCTTTCTTTTTAGAATTGATTCCAATTGTGAAAGGCCACGTCAACAAAGTTGTTTACCCTTTAAAGTATCTTTCGAAGATGTCTAAGTGTTCTCTTGTTCTGTTTAAGTTTATGGATGGAAAATCCGAGGTTACCTGAGAAAAATGGTTGAAAAGAATAGATGAAAAATTACATTTTTCATTTGGTGTTTCAACTCTATTGATGGCATTTGATCGACCTTGGTTGAGACAAATTGCTCTGTCACTTGAATGATGCAAGCTTTGCTCTGATTGAAATAATTGGCTCAAATGCGCAGGAATCGACTCAACTGGTTTGTTGTGCCTCTCTGTCTTTTTGTTTTTGCTCTTCTTTCTTTATAGAGTTTTAATTCCATAACAGTGAAAAAGGCCAATCCATTCAAGTTGTGTATCTTTAAAGTATCTCTCGAAGTGTTCTCTTGTTCTGTTAATTATCTCTGGGATAAAGCTAATGGATGGGAAAATCCGAGTTTACCTGAAAATGGTTGAAAGTTAATCAATGAAGAATCCTATTTTTCATTTGGTGTTTCAACTCTGATGGCATTTGATCAATATTTGGTTAAGTTAACTATTCTTAGATGATGCATGCTTTAAACCATTTTCTTTATAGCCGGAAATCAATAGATCTGTAACTGACCTGGTTTGTTGTGATGGGTCGACTTATTGATGATTGGTTGATCTTTAACAATCTCTCAAGGTCACTGCAGGGAGTATCTAATCCTTTTTTCCTCTAACGTTAATTCCTCTAGTTTCAGGTTCTGGACTCTTCTCTTTTCTTTCTCTCTCTCTCTTTTTCTCTCTTTTTTCTCTTTGTCTTGTTTTTTACTTTTCCATAGTGTCAAACGATTAATTTACCGCAGGTCTCATGTTAATTATCCGGGAAGATACAGTTGTGTTTTGTTACAGTTATATAAAAGAAGAATGTCTGTCCTTTAATTGATCCTATCAATTAATCCATGGTTTACTGGGGTCATCTCTATTGTCTGCCTTCGGGATGGATCAAGCCTATTATAACACTTCACTGCATGTTATAATGGATCTCTTTTCAAGTTACTAAAGTGGCCGATTGAAGCTTTAGTATCTCAAAGTATTTTGCCAAAGTTTCTGTCATTTCGTGTTGTCAAATTGCTGCCTATTCCTCACTTGCCTGGAATTCTGCAATTTGGGTTTTTCTGTACCATGACCTCAATTTTAACGTGGATTCAACTCTGTTACCTGTTTATTCTTGGATCACTTGAGATTTTTATATATCAGCTTTATAAAGCCTTAGCTATCTGGGAGTTTAATTAGGATCAACTGTGAGTCGCTAGGATGTCAATAGGAAGTCGATAGGAAATCAATAGGAGGTTCATAGGAGGTCACTAGTGGTTAAAAATGCTCACCTTTCATTCCCTCATCACCATCTCAGCTTATCATTAAGGAGTTCGCCTTTCATCCCTGCAATTTACAATTTTGAGAAACCCCACCCTAACGAATATGCTGTTATGTCATGTCTTTATCATTTTTATTGTTCCAATCTTCATCTCGCTTTAATTTATCGTCTTTCCGCGTAATGAGTTTAAAATTTATACCTTCCTGATGAATGGTTAGTTCTGTTTACCATTGCCTCACCATCTGTGTTTGCAAACACTCACCTTTACGTATTGCACATTAATTATATTTTTAATGGTTAAATGTACACATCTCCAAAGTACCGTTTTTTGAATCCCCGCTGAAATCATGAATCATTTGATAAATCCCAATATGTTGAGTTCACATAAGTTAATCCAAGTCCACACATGATAAATTGCTATAATCACAAGCTGATTGTTTAAAGCTAAGCTAAGATTTGCCATGAAAATTCTGGTCATTTCCATCCATCTGATTGTAATTGGGTCTCAAAACATCAATTTATGGTTTTCTGTCTAATCTAAAGTCAAAAGATAAAGTCGTGATGAATATGTCGCAACCCTTGAAGGTGTTATGGTCAAAGTTCTGATGTTAAATACTACTGATATTTAATTGGTCTAATTAATCTCTAATCTAAATTACAAAGTCAAGTTTAAAGTAAGTGGGTATCCAGCGAAAGTTTTAGTTCAAATCGTAAGCCGTTCTCAATCTCAATTATACTCATTGGTCGTTCCATGTCTCCAAGCTTAACTACTCATCTTATAAAATCATTATCCACATTCAAAGTTCATTCAAAGCTCCTAGTCATCTAAATATCCATCTTTCAATTGGTTTAATTTATCAGTCAAAATAATGAAGTCAAGTTTTAAAGTAAGTGGTCATCCAGCTAAAGTTTAGTTCAAATCGTAAGCCGTCTACAATCTCAATCTCAATCATAATCATTGGTCGTTCCATGTTCTCCAAGCTTAATCATCTTATAAAATCACGTCTAATTCAAAGTTCCTAGTCATCTAAATATCCATTTTCCGAAATTTCGAAGTTCTCAATTTAATTGTTCATCAAATCCATTCAAATTCCGAGTTTTCATTCACTACAAAACCAGTTTTTCTAATTCAAATTCAATTCAAGTTAAAAGTCCATTGATCAATTAGTAAATTCAAAATCTTCATATGGCGTTTAAAATTAATGAATCAAAGATTTCAGTGCCAGCCTGGTTCAACTCATTACAACTTACTAGTTCGTAAATTCTCATTGTGGCTCCCGCAAAGTTTGGATGTGTTATTGGTGAGTTTCATTGCTGACTGTTTCTTTGATTTTGCTCAATTGTTTCATGTATCTAATCCGTCCTCTCGTTTTTGTTCATTTCAGAAGCTTTTTTCAAATTACCATTGAAGTTATATTGGTTTCCAGTGTTTTACCAATTTCTCATTACAAAGATGTCAAAGGTCCATTAAGATCACATTATATTGGGTTTAAGGAGTTTTTGTTCAGCCTGTGCGCTATTCAATAATGGTTTTATTAATTACTGGCGTAAAAAATGTTCAATTTTTCATTGCGTATCGAGTTAAGTGAAGTTCAAGTTTATTCGAGTAACTGGGGTATAGCGAGTCGATAAATCTTAAATTTTGTTTTCATGCTTAAAAGCTCAAGCTGAAGTGGTACAATATAAGTTTGGTAGATTTTTTGGTCCATAAAATCACTTGCAAGGTTAAAAAGGAGTATCAACTGTTGGAAGAATGTTAATTTCTTAATTCATTTTTTGCTGATTTACGTAAAGGGATAATTTAATATCTTCAATTTAATTCAAATGCTAAAAGCAATCATACATTTGCTTCAATATCCGAGTGCTGGTTTTGGTTTTGGTTTTAACGAAAAGTTATATTAAGCTGTTAATGTTCTGTTATGCCGAAGGTTTCTGAACTATAATTTTTGTCAAAATTTTGTTCTACATTTCCTCATTTGATTTTTTTCTATTCAATTTTTGCTGATCGATGTTTCAAGTAACTTTCATGTTTCTTGTGTCAAATTCAAGGGGTTAAATCAAATGAAATGATATCTACTGGTTTATCTAAGAAGTAATACTGAAATTTACATTTAAATTCAAATTCAAATTCATACAAAGATTCATGCTACAAATTGACGCCATTTTCTTACTTCGTATCCATACTGCGTATCCATGCTACAATTACTGAATTCATACTGAAATTACTACAAATGATTACTACAATTCCATACTACAAAGTCGTACTAAAAGTTATACTGAAAATTCACACTGAAATTCACCCGCAAGTTCCATACTGCGAATTCGTACTGAGATTTATTCAAATTTCTATTGAAAATTATTCTGAAATCCACATTGTGTTTACATTGAAATGCTCTGCTATTTTGCTATGAAAAATTCTGCTTAAGTTGTGTTAAAATTTCATAATGAAAACTTTTTCTGAATCTGTGTTAAAAATGTACATTGAAAATTTATATTGGTAATTTATTTTGAAACTCAAATTGTAATTTAAGGTGAAATACTGAAATTTATTCTGAATTCATACTGAATTTTATACTGAAATTGTTCAACTAAATTGTGAACTGAAGTTGTATCTTTCTGTTTTAATATGAATGGGTTTTCTTGTATTTGAAATGAGCCACATAAGTTTGATTTTACCTAAACCAAAGTGTATCTAAGTTTTTGTGTTTATTTCTGATTAATACTGTTTGTGTTTAATTTCAATTGAAATTTTGTGTTCAAATTTTACTGATTGAGTTTCTTGGTGAATAAAGTGTTTTGTTGTGCTAAAAAAGTGTTCATTTATTTCTCATCTCTACAAGCAAAGCCAAGGAAAAGAATCATCAAGTCATCTTCAACGACCTGGTCAATCACCTTTCACCTATCACCAATATTAATCCCCATTCCCCATGAATTGTTAAATCCCTTACCCCCGATAAATAATACAAAGCGCTAAAATGTCATTAAATCTAGATTTAACCGCTAAATTTTGTTCTTAATTACTTTTTTCGCGACTATCTTTGTAATTGTCTTGCTATTCGGGTAGACTATTAGAGCAAGTAAGCTTGACGCCAATTTTATGATAATAAGAAAGGTAAGAATTTATATCGATATGAAATGTTATGAAAGTCAAGACATGATTTGTACTTCAAGCTGAATAAGAGTCGATTATCAGGTAAGAACATGAAATATCCATTAACACTAGTTGAATTCAATGGCTTCAGATTCATCCCCGCAATTAGTATCATGTCTATTCTTGACAATTAATCCTGAATAAAATGTCTAGAGACGCAGTTTTGTGTCAAAATAAGGTATGGCTACTGTGCAGAAATAGGTACTAATGTTTCAGACTAATTATACTCAAATTACGACAGTTAGACAAGACAATTTATGACCTTTAATGGATAAGAGCGTAAATCTGATTGTTTCTTAAAATATGAAAAAGTGATTTTTAATTTCATGAAATTTAGCTTGTAGGTGGAACAGAAAATTTCAGTCGACCTTAATTGAGATTTTCGTGACAATTTTGCTGCAAAATTTTGGCGTTTTTTCAAAAAACCTTGATATGAAGCTAGATCACTGTTGCCATTGAAATAAGAAAAATCAAATATCGCGCTTATCCTTAAAGGCTATAAATGACGATTTTTCATCAAGATTGACTTACAGGGAACCATCTTTGAAAAGTGTACCTTCATTTAGGCTAAATGATGCCTGTGCGTCTTGTCTAACTGTCGTAATTTAATTTTGTACAATTAGTCTGAAACATAAGGAGTCATTCGTATTGTAAAGATAACGTAATACAGTCTAGGATCTATGACAGAAGTTTAGTTTGCTTGAAAAACATAAGATTCAGTCTTTGCTGAATTGAGAAGACAAATAAAACTCGAATTTGGTTCTTATTTTAAACCAATTACCATTTGCTTTCATCACTAAAGAAGTAATAGCTTGAAAATTCGATATTACTTAGGCTACCGCTATTCGGTCACCCAATAGCTCTAGAATCTAAAGCTTTCAATTGAATTCTGAAGATTACGCCATGTTTCAACAAATCTTTCATTGTTAAGGCTACCGGTTACTTGGTTACAAAGCAAACAGTTTTTGGGTTGCTAATTTTAGAGGGAAATTCAAAAAACGTAGAATCTTGAAAGTTTATTAAATGAATTGATAGATAGCGCTGCAAACATTGAAATTCAATTTCCACTTTAGGCTTAATGGTGCGAAATTGTTACCACAATTACTGGTTATTCAAAGCCAACTAGTGAGATAAAAAACCGCTCATGATGCATGGATAACTTTTGTGCTATTAGATGGAGCTGCAATATTAACTGATATACTGAACCATACTGAATAACTGTATTTATGGGAATTAACGATGTTCATTTACAGTCCATTCACAATGAAGGCAGCCATTTCAAAATGAATTTTTTTATTTTGTCGCTCTAAAGAAAAGCCTTGCCAAAACGGAGAAAAGCAAGATCATGATGAATAAAAAATCGAAGCAAAGTTTGATTGAGAACTGTAAGTTACTCCTGATTCGTTTTAATCTGCGTCTGAAAAAGATTGGAACTCTTCTCACTTAGGAATTCAATGATTAATTGAAGATCTAATCAAGATATAACTTGAAATAAAAGTTGGTTCATCTTGATTGTTGAACTTCGATACATTGATTTTAATTAATAATTGATAAAATTCCACAGACTACAAATTCAACTAATTCACTTTACCCATTTCATTTGCAACAACCGATTATAAAAACTATCCAATTGTATTGATCAATTTCATGCTGAATATCCACCAATTCTTGAAAACACCCAAAGTCACAATAAAAAATTTAACAACTTTTGTCAAGCTGAAAATATCCAGGTCAAGATGAAACAAAATGATTGCTTAAAATGGTCAATAAAATTCATTTCACATGCATTTCTATTGCAAACCAAACTTTGATTCCATGAAACTGTGAACCCATTTCAGCTAAAAAAGTGTCTTGTATTTTGCTTGTCCTCATAAAATATCGATACTTGACAAATCAATCAATAGCAACAAACCAATCCTAAACAACAGATCAAACAATATCGACAGCAAACCTCTTGATGATGTCCGATGAAAATCAGAGTAACCAAAGTGTTTCAAGTAGAGTTTTGAAATTTCATTTTTTGGGCATTTTTAGTCGACTAAATAAAAGGCAGCCTGAAAGATTACACAGTTAGCTTGATGAGCCTCGGGGTAATTTGGTCATTCCGTTACTCTACCAGAGCCTCAACAAACAAACCAAAAACAACGACCAACTCCTCCTCCTCCTCCGACGGTTACCCCTCATCATTACGCTACAATGATTTTAACTGTAACTTCTTACTCCAATCACAGTCCAAATCTTGTCCGTCCTTTCTGTTCTGATTTCATTTCCTTTCTTCTCTCTCCTTCTCTCCTTCTCATCTTCTTCATCTTCATCTGCTCACCAATTACTATCACCACTCTTTCTCAGGTAACGACCTCATGCTCGAATGACCCTAGTTCCGTTTATTTGGCCCTCAATTTATCTCTCTTTCTCTTTCCCAATGACAATCTCATCTTTTCTCAACTAAATGTTAATACCAAATTTACAAAACTCACACCCTGTACATTGTACAAAAGAAGCACATCTTCATCATTTTAATTGCCAAATTATCATTCCATTTGCTTCAACTGTTTTCACCAACAAAAGCCTTTTCACTTATCCTGTTTCTGGTTTGCCTTTTGTAATCAACCAAAAAAAGTGAAACCAAAACTTGACCATTTTGTAAACACAGTCTAAAGGTAAAACTCAATGATAGACACTCAGCCGATTGTCTAATCATTGAACACTTTTTCACCCTCAATTACATTCCAATCGAGAAGCAAGGTTTAATTCATTTGTTTAATTTTTGACACCAAAAAGCAAATCTTCACTTGCAATCAACTCTCATGAGCAAACCTTGAAATCTCAAGAATTGAATTCACAGTGCATGTCATCAATAGTAAACAAATTGCACCATCAACCCATTGAACAAGTCAACAAAATGACACTCAAGTAATCCCAGTATTGATGGAGATAAATTGAAAGATTGATTTCACCTGAAAAATGAAATTCTCAAAGCTTGAGATTTTATTGATTGAAAAAGATTGAATCAAATGCGCTTCTAGTTATGCAAATGAAACGCTTTCTCACTTGATTTTGTTCATTCTGAATTCAATGAAAGGTAAACATTGAGTTTCATTGTAAAACTGAATTAAAAGAATCACCAATTTTCATTGGTCAAGTGAACAAGTTGAACATTTTATTATTTCTCAAACTATCGATAGTTTCATTTACAATAAGTATCATTGATGGTAATGCAAGTTGCTATAATTGAAACCAATTTTCTTATTCAATTTATCACCTATTTATTGCTATCAATTGAGAGACAAATTTTCATCAATTTAGTGTAAAAATGCTCAACAAATGGCCAACATCAAGGTAAACAGAAGAGAAAAAAAAGTTTTAACAATAAACTGATTCTTTACTTTTCTTCTGCCAATTTTACACATTTTTACGCTTTTTTTGTTCAGTTTAGCATTTTGTTTCACCAATAAATTTAAGTTGCACTAAAAAACCCTCTAAAACCACCTTAAACAATGATTATTATTATTAGTATTGTGATGAGGAAAAACATTGCATTTTCTGGCTTCTCTCTTTACTTTCACTTGTTTATGGTAATTACAGGTAAAGAAGTTTATCAACGAATTATTTATTAATCTTTTACAATAAGATCAGACTTGAATCAAGGTGAACAGCTTTGGAATGGGTAAGAAATGAATGATTCATTTAAATGTACAAAATGTGTGTGTTTCGTCTAATCTGAAAATAATGGAATCTGAAATGTTAGGAAACAAATGATTTGCTTTTGCTTCATTTATCTTACAGTCGACATTTTCCTCAAAGTCTTGTAAGATTTCAATAAAGTCTCATCATGTAATTGAGATCAGTGGGAGTTGAGAGAGGAAATGATAAATTTAAAGTGAAAAGGGAAACTTGAATTTGTTGTTTTTTGACAAGAAATTAAAAAAGTTATTGAATTAATTTGGCATCAACAGTGATCTTGGATCGCTATTGTGATGAGAAGGAGACGGATCTGGTTGAGGATAGAGATGACAAGATGAGGATGAAAGGAAAAGATAAGGTAACTAGTCGTGTTATTATTACCTGTTGATGGTAATGAGAGGAAGAGAATAGAAAAGTTTCTCTTTTACTTTCTTCTTTTTTCTTCATCTTCTTATTCTTGTTCGTCTTTGGAGACAAAAAAAGGAAATGAATGAAACCAGAGCAACCGCAAGAAGAGAAACATTTTGTAACTATTCAAGTGAAAAGGAAAACAACAAATCTCAATCGTTGCTGAGGTTGATGATGATAATGACGATGATGATGTTGATGATAAGGCTGTGAGGGACAGAGGCAGGTGAAAGGAAGGTGAAACGGTTCATTGAGGGAATTAAAAGAAAAGAGCCAAAAGAAGGACAAAAGTCACATCATCTTTCATCCTTTTCTCTTCTTCTCTTCATCCCAACAGTTTTCTCTTGTGATAATTGATGCTCAAAAAGCAAATCATCATTACCTATTATTATTGTTATTAGCATTTTCCAGGCAAATACTTTCGCTTGCTGCGATTCCCAAACCAAAGGGCAAACTTAAGTCACATTTTGTCCTTAATTGATATCGAATAGCATTTCGCTGACCTCATTTCTCTGAAAGTAAAATCGCAATTTCGATCAACATCTATCTTTACTTTTTTCAAATTTCCTCAGAACATTCGAATCGAAATTTTCGTTCCAATTAGTCCAAATCAGAAAGCAAATGTGCAACAAAGAGCGAAGTCGTAAAGTGATCTGAAATTTTTCGTGAAATTATTGAAAAGACGAATAAATTTTTGTGAAAGTAAAACTGGAATTTTCAAAAGCTTTTCAAAAATCATCGAAATCTTTTTCGAAAGGTTCT